GTAGGTACGTTGTTTATCTTCCGATCGCGATCAAGTCTAATGGTTACCTATTCGTCGAATTCGTTCATAAATATTATTCATGACTACAGATATTATATATTATGATTTAACGTTATTTATCGGAGTAACAGTTTTTTTTTACATATAATACTATTACCACTAAAAACATATGTGATGTTGCTTCAAGTAATTAATGGACTCTTAAAATTTATTTCCAATATCTACGTGAATGACGACATAGCAAAAGCTAGTTAGTGCCTTGTAAATCTGTAGTCATAAACGTGCTTACAAATACGCTGAACATTTCAACACGTGGCTCAAAAGTAATACGAATGAAACGTCTCATTAAATTAAACCAGAATTTAAATAATATTAACTTGACCGAGTGCTGTGGCTGCTGAATGGAACACCTGGATTAATTTTCTACAATTGCGCTCCGCTCGAGCACTGTTTTTGTTTAAAACTAAACGCTGTTCGTACATGGGCATTGAAAAGCATTGAATTGTGCGATGCGAAACTTTTTTACTAGTTCTAATTGAACTTTCATTTGTTTCTCTAGTTAAACTTCGAAGTTATGATAATTAAGCTTCACTTGTTACAAAATAATTTACTTACTTACTCAGATGGTTTTAATGAAATAGTTTCATGTATTTCAATAAGTTGTATTTAGTATTAACATTATAGCGTTCACGTAACCGGCGGTAGCTCCAATAAAATGTATAAAATAGATTTATTTAAACATCATATATATATTATTGGTATAGTACAGTCATGTCTCATTGCTAGGCAAAGGCCTCCTCTGTAAAGAGGGTATTAGGGCCCCGCGACCATATTACGGATTGGCGGACTTCACTTTTTTATGTGAGAAGGTGGTAAACGAAATCGCTGGTCACCTGATGTTAGGTGATAACCCCTGCCCGTTGATATTTGTAACACCGGTAGAGTTGCAAATGCGTTGCCACCTTTTAATAAAGTTGGCTCCTGCTACTTAAGGGTAACACTTCCACTTCACGTCGGTCTTCTGTGAGGTCGTGGTACTGCCCACTAACTTTTACATTTCTTAAAGTCAATCAATTGGCAAATTGACGAATCAAACAAAATGATGGTGAAATCATCACGTGACAAAAATTTAACTAAATTCGTTTTCTTGGTAAGCTACGTGTATAACAAATCTTTGTTACTTTATCAACGGAAATCGACTACCTTCTGACGGAAATCGACAGGAACACTTGGCGGTGTCACAACTTCCTAAAGGTAACAATTTTACGGTAAAGGTTCTCAAGATTCGTTTATCTTATTATATACATGGCCTCCACTCATCGCCTCTATGGTACCTACAGGTTAATCGGAAGATGTATTATATGTATTACAAAGACGGTGTATAATGTCTATTTTTGAAGGTCAGTTTTCTTGTAATGAATATTAGTTGAAATAAAACTATATTAGGTATGTAATTTGGTTAGTAAATGAAAAATGAAAATAACTACTAACAAATCATTATTGTATACCTACGAAAGGAAATAACAAAAAACATGTTTAATTAACTAAGTAACTATTTACTTCCTGGCAGATGTCGGCGAAGTTTGTTCATTAAAAAGTACCTTTTCCACTACTAGATACGAAAGGTTAGTTACTCAATACATTTTAAAATACAAATTGCGTACTTATTAGAAGATATTCATGGCATGTTTTTCGATCATTTTCTAAAATTTTTAAAGCTCCTGACAAAAAAAATAGCAAAAGTTATAAAGCTGGCTAAATTGCTTATATTTGCACCCGGGGGACAAAAAAAGTTTATTTGTTTATTATTGTAAGTTATGTTGAAAACTTAAACTATAATTGAAATTTTGTTCAATTTACAAAAATTATTCTGTAATATATATTAATGTATAATGCAAAATGCATATGATTATCGTTGAATTATAAATATTTTGATGTACTTTTATTGTAAGAGTCTTAAAAAATAAGAATATGTTACGTTATTAATTGAAACATTATTGTCTATTAATAATTTCCACATTTTTCTTACTGTCTTGCAAATTATATAAGTACGTATGTAATAAAACTCAACGAGATTGTTATATAACCACAAATTATGCGGCACGCTGCATATTATTGAGGCTAGGGCAGTTGTCCACCGACAACCTCTCTAGCCATTTCGTTGGCACGCAGTTGGCATACCAAAGTAAATTGAGTTACCGTCTTGACCCCATATTAAGGTGGGAAGTACTACCAACTAATATCTGAATTATAGATAGTCCGTATACTTACCATTCATACCAAGTTTAAATAGGTACCTGCTATAACTTGGTATGGACGTTGATTAAAAGTGCGCGTCGGACTCGTGCTCGATGGGTTCCGTACCATTATCTATCAAAAAAATCATTTGTTGTACCTAAATATTTTTTATTCTGGTTTTAGTGTTGTTATACCGGCAACAGAGATACATCATCAGTGAAAATTTTAACTCTCCAACTATCATTATCACGACATTTCCTTTTGGTTTACACAAGCTTGATTCGAAGAGGATAGTGCTATTCAATTAGTTGTAATTAATGATGTTTTAATAAAGATGACGTATCGCATGTCTGAGCTATGCTTATAAATTCTTTTGCTTTTCTTTAATATTAATAATTATTGATAAAATATTAATAATTATAAATATGTCATACAATTTCCAATAATTATTACTGGAAATTGTATGACATATTTATTTGATGTGAACGTGACAGGTGATACAGAAAGTATGTTACGGAAAGAGATAACAGTCTATAGAGGTCCATTTGACGTATGCTAAACTAATTATAGACATACTCGAACCGAACAGAAGAGAAATTACACTAATTGCCTTAATTCGAATGCCTCACTTTCGGCCCGCTAGTGTCATATTGCATACGATATCATTTGTTGTAATTACTATTGCTTAACTTTATGCCGCAATAAACAACAACGAATTGTTGCGTTTGTATTTATTCAATGTCAAAGGCGTGTGAAAAGCGTTTCCGCGAGAAGCGCATTCGCTGAACATTTATCTGTATTGCATTTTTGAATTGAGTCGCTTCAAATGCGCGTGAACTTTGCTTTGAATGGCATTGACGGGAATGTCGCTGTGACTTCGCCGCGACCTACCCGCATACTTAATAATATCACTTTGTGCTTTTAGTGGAGTAAAATGGGACCATTCGACACCGATCGCTTTATAACGGAAATAAGAAATCGCCCAGCCACCGAATTATAAAATCAACAAAAGCTTTGCTTAGAGTGTGCCAGGTTTTTATGAAAGTTTCACTGATAAAATTAATATTGAACAAAATTGACAGCTATTATTAGATGTTAATTAATGACGGATGTTATTAATTTATATCTATTTGTCCACACAGACTAGTAAAAACAGTTAAAAGCCTATACTAGCGTTCCGCCCCGGCTTCGCATGGGTGCAATGCTGAATGTTTGTTTTCGACATCGCATTAGAAACCTTTAAAATTAACAGTGTTTCTCTACTATATAATGAATTATACATATAAGCCTTCCTCTGAAATCACTCTATCTATGAAAGAATACCGCATCAAAATCATTGCGTAGTTTTAAAGATCTAAGAATATATAGGGACAGACATACATTGGGACGACTTTCTTTTATAGTATGTAGTGATGATAGTATCATAGGTGTAGTCAGGAGATTCTCAAGTCGGTTGTATTTTTATTACGTTTCGATTTTTTTTAATATTTACTGAAAACGCACCCACAAAACGCACTCATAAAAGCAGCCACATTTCATAAAAGGTAAACTGTAAATTCAAATTCAAAATATCTTTATATACATAGACGCTTGCGCGTTGTTATGAAACGTTAACATTTTACATTATAATTAATACGTTCATTAGTAAGTTACCAGCGTATTGAATGTGGCCCGTTAGTATTAGGTTCTTAAAAATTTTTGCGTTTTCCATGTTTTGTACTGTTTTATCTTGAATCGTGTGATCATTAATTAAAAAGGATTTGTTACGGAGCGCCATTACATGTACTTAGGCTAAAAGAACTGTGTTGTCAGACAATATAGTAAAATCGACGGAAAGGAGTGACGGCTAATATAAAAATATCGTCGTCAGTTAGTTTTACACCGAAACAAGCTTGCTGTGCAGTGCTACAGTCCGAACTTGTTGGATGCGATTTGGTTACTTACGACCGTACGTTGCCACTGGAATATTGAATTTAGCAGGTCAGTAAGCTCATGGGTCACGCCTTCGGCCCTTTCGGATCCGGGCGGATTGATATTACTTTGAATTCAGCCGTGTGATGTTACCTACGTTTAATTGAGTTGCTTAATAAGGTTGCATTGATACTATATTTGTCATATCATACGGTGTACTCTTCGTCAAACTGAATAATTGACTTAAATAATATAACAATGTTTTTTCATTACACTATTGTATAATGAAAAAAAAAAAATACAATGCTGGCTTGATTTGAATTTGAGTTGGAAGCATTTTCATGCACCTTTTTCATTGCTAAATGTAAGGACATAACATAAAGATGTTTATAGACATCTTAGGATCTCTGACAGAGTTCCTCATCATGATTAATAAAAATATTTTTGTTTATATTTTATTTATTTATTTAAAAACTTTATGCACATTAACGTACAATGTCGGACCATTAGGTGTCCTCTACCAGTCAACCGAAAAATAAACAGGCGAAAGAGCCCGATGATATAGTCAAAAACATTGTAACATATACAATATTACATACATATAAATTTAACTGAATTTATTATATAGTTACATTATAAGGTGGCTTACATTAACCCCATTTGTACTTGGTGTATCATGTAACGCTGTAATAGATGTAAAATAATTTGAATTCACAATCGCAGTTCGTAATTTTTAGTCCTTTTCCTGAAAATATTAAAGTGTACGATGACCCTTCCTTTAATTTTTCCCTTGTATTTCTGACGGCTAGGTTGTAATCCTTTTCTATCTATTGTCGCAGTACATCGGGACCATGGACGTGCCGCGGCCATCTAGTCGCGTGGAGATAGTCGCTGCGATGCGCCGTGTTCGCGTAAGTACCTTGTTAATACTTCAACAGTAGTGTTATGTTAAAAGAAACAAGCTTAGAAGGTCCCGATGGGACTTATTGCATTTATCTAGACCAAACTAATGGGTTGGGGAAAAATTATATGAAAATTCAAAACATTTCTTTAATATAGTTAATTTACATTTAACTTAAGTATGTCTTTTTTATATGAAAAGTTGTCAGACGAGCAGACGGTTCACCTGATGTTAGGTGAATACCGCCGCCCACGGACATCTGTTACACCCGAGGGTTCCAGATGCGTTGACAACCTTTTGAAAATTGGGCTCCGGCCACCTCACTCACCAGACGAAACGCTAAAGTAATATCCACTTTGCGCTGGTCTTCTGTGAGGTCGTTTAGGTGCCATTTTGTTCGATAACTTTATGCCATCTTGTAGGTAGGGATCATGTTCCCATTGCTAAAGAAATTCTAGGGCTTCTGATCAAAAAACCTCGACAAGTGGTTTTGACAGTCCTCTCGTGATGTTAACCTGACACTGTCTAAAGAATTCTGAAGAGACCGAAACAAGTGGAAATCTGAAGGTGCAAGGTCAGGACTATACGGTGGATGCATTAACACTTCCCAGCCAATCTCTATTAAGTTTTCCCGAGTGGCTAAAGATTTCGTACTTTCTTGTCGTACGTGATCCACTTTTCATCACCAGTTATCAGGTTTTTCAAAAATGGTTCGGTTTTATTACGTCGTAATAAAGAATCTCAAATGGGTACACGGTTCAGTAGGTTTCTTTCAGTGAGCTCATGAGGCACCCAAATATCGAGCTTTTTGTGTACCCAGCTTTTTTCAAATGCGCCAAAACTGGTTTTGATCAACTCCCAGTTCTTCAGCTTTATCTAAACTACTGATATGCCGATCCAATTTTTCAAAAATTGCATCCATTTTATCCGTAACAGGGCGCCCAGAGCGAGGTGCATCTTTGACATCAAAATTTCCGGATTGAAAACACTTTAACCAAATTTGTGCTACTCTCACAGACACTGCACTAGGTCCATAAATATCACAAGTTTTTTTCTCGGCTTGCGCTGCATTTTTACTTTTTTTGTAGTAAAATTTTAAAATGTATCGAATTTCTTCATTAGAATCACTCATCTTAACAGTAAGAAAAACAAATGAAAATCACACACTTTCCTATTTGGAATTATCTTTTTTAGAATTTAAACTTTTTAATAATACCAAAACCTGTCAGATACAAATGGTATAGCCCAAGAGATTGTATTATAAGTACATAAATACTATTTGCGAAAAGAGTTTTTCCCCAACTTAATACATTTCCACACTGCGGTCATCTTAACCTTTCGACGGAAACCGAAACGTTAGAATCTTTAATATTCACACTCTTTATTAAAATGATCGTTAAATTGGAGCCACTGCAACGTTCCAAAATAAAAAAAGATGAACATGGAACCCCCAAAATTTACTACTTTTTCCTCAGTCCATATGAGCGGAATCGCACAATCATTTCTTTAATTCTTAAAATCTGTATGCTGACTGTAAGCACAAATCTAATTCAAAGAATACTAGAAACAACTCGGCCAGTGCCTACATCAGGATTCTTTTCAAGTAGTTTATGCTTACAACTGCATCGATGAGCGATCATACAACATGATCGTAGGAACAGAGAATTAATAATCGCTTTTATTCACCATAAGAAAAAGTACAGCAAAATTAAACAAAAGAATGTTGTTTTCAATATTTTTTTAATATAAGTTATTTTATTTTTTTCTACAGTTAGCCAGATTTCATTTAAATGTTTCACTGTCCAGTCTGACTTCACACACACACGGATCATGTTGATCCCGAATTAATAACAACTGCTGTAAATTATTTATTCCAACACCATTCCTCGCACGCTTACGCGTTATGAAACGGTTAATATTCAAAGTGCGACAGACAGAGATTATTATTTTACCTATTTCGTAACCGTATGAGATTTGTAATTTATTTATGGATTATCTCAAAGTTATTATCATATAATATGTAGCTGGCTTAGCTATACATTTTAAATCACATTGGCCTAAAATAAGGGGTTGAAACAGCATGTCTAACATAACACAACTTGAGAGATAATATTAGAATATCAAAGTTACGAGAGTTACACAGAAATGCACAAAAAAAAATACCGAATTTTTATTTTTGTGTGATAAAAATTACCAACACGGTAATTTTTACTATACAGAATTCTAAAAACGTTGCGCTTACTTTAGAATAACATTATCCTGTGTTGTAAGGACGTTTTACAAACATAAATTACACGTAGACCAGCACCTATATGCGAAATAACTATCGGTAGGTAACACAAATAATTGGCCCGTGTCGAAATCGAACCCACGACCCCCGACACCGAAGCCACTGCGCCACGGTGTCATCAAAACTACATTAAAATTAAATTGGTTATCATTTTCCTATCCTACTATCAGACCTTTCATTTGCCTACAAAATTCCCTACAAGAAAAAGCCTTCAGGCACGATCCGTTATCATATCTACTTGATTTAATTACGCATTTCAAAGTAAATTTTGTAAGAACTCGTCAAGAGCTGTCCCTTGCACACATAATTGTTGTTTAGCGTTTATATTAACGGACGCCCGTTGTAAAATTAAACTGAAATTATAATAATATGAAAGGAAATATTTTTAGATCGTATTTTTTTATGCGGATCCCTGCAAATAAAACGTATTATATTGTCATATCTCGCATAACCCATGCGATAGTTTTCCGATAGTTGTCCGTGATTTCCACTTAAAAAAAAACTCACAATGTGAATGGCAAATAAATGACATTTGGGTTAGTATCCATCTATCAGGCTGGTCGCCATATATATGTTATGTGTTTATATATCCCTTTATAATTATCTTGAACACCACTCCGATAACATAGTAATGTTAGTGCCGGATAAGTGGCGATATTGCCATTTATTTTATCTTTTGAAAGACAGGTCGAATTGATATGAATCTGTATATAGAACATGAGGCAGCATTGGAACACCAACGGTTAAAATGGTAGCTGTGGTAACTGATGGATGACGTTGGTGAAGTTCATTGAAATTAACTAAATTTTGAGTCATGGAATTTATCTTTTATGTGTAAGCCATTATCGCCATAAATATAAATAAAATTATGAACAATACATACAATAAAAATTGACAATTTATGTCTAATGCACATTTGGTAGTAAGAAATTGATTCTTATTCATACTATAATATTGTTATGAACACACAAAGGAACTAACGCCATCTAGCGTCAACTATTAAAATCACTAAAGAACAAAGACGACATAAAACCCCCTATTCAATACTAGATGGCGTTAGAGGAACTGCTGTGGAACTATAGTCTCGAAAACCGGGTACATTCTCGAACTTTCCGGAATCACGAACATGTTCGGGCGTGTCGGGTACGTTCCAGGAAGGATCTTTCTGGATTAGTCTGGAACCAGTCTCGGCCCATATAAAAAGCCGCGGGGAGGCGAGCGAAGACAGTTCAGTTTGAGCTACCTTCGAGACGACTTCGGAGTGAAACCTAGTGTGATCAAGAGCGATACCAGTGAAACCTACGACTTGGCTACAAAATAGGACATCGTTAGTGCTTAGTGTTTGGACCTAGTGCTTTGTGTTGGACCTAGCGCTAGTAAATAAAGTCTTCAAAAGAGTCAGCAGGTCTTTCTCTCCAAATCCTTCGAACCCCTAACACGTAACAACTGGTGTCAGAAGTGGGATTTGGAGATGCCATTGACTCCGAGAGAGGACTTCAAGGAGGGTGTCAGGAAAAGGGCACGAGCTGCGGAGACCACACCCACTGGGGACCAAGCCCCGCCCACTATGGGTCAAGCCCCGCCCACTGACCCCACCGACCAGGCCGCGCCCACCAACCCCGCCCCTCAGACTCCGCCCACTCAGGCCCAAGCCCCGCTCACTTTGGCTCAAGCCCCGCCCATTTCGGGGCAGGCCACGCCCTCTTTTGTGCAAGCCCCGCCCACTGACTCCACCCACCGGGACACGCCCACTCGGGCCACGCCCACCTTGCCACGCCCACCGGCGGCACCACAGCTTCTGCAGCCCCTGAAGAGGCTCTTCAATTAGGAAGTTTAATTAAATTAATGGAGCTGCAAAGGGCTGAAATTCAGGCAATGAAGGAGTCACAAGAACGCAAGCTCAGCGCTTTGCAAGCGTCACAAGAGCAACAAAAAGACCTCCAAGAAAAAGCGCTTTGGGCTATAAATGATGTTAGTAACACGGTGATTAAGCTTCGAAGCTTAATCACCGTGTTACTAACATCATCATTCACTTCGAAGTGATGTCGACGTAGTCGAAGAACGAGTTACCGGGTTAGGATTGGATGTTGAAAATGTGAAAACCGGCCTCACTGAACTACAGAAGAAAGTAGTGCGCCTTGAAACCACGGGAGTCGCGATGTCTAGTGGAACCACTGGAGTGGCGCAAGGACCAAGAGTGAAAGTGCCGCCATACGACGGCACTACTTCTTGGCACGCTTATCGTCGGCAATTCCAGACTGTTGCTACTGCCAACGGATGGACGGAAGAGCAAAGCCTGACCGCTCTCACTGTTGCGCTTAGAGGGCAAGCTTTGTCGGTCCTGGAAGCACTGCCACATACAGGAAATGGGTTCCAAGACCTGATGGAGGCACTTGAATCCAGGTACGGGGAGCGACACCTGGAGCACGTGTTCCGTGCCCAACTGCGTGACCGAGTCCAACGCTCAGGAGAAGGACTACAACAATGGGCGTTGGAAATTGAAAAACTCGTCAGGAAGGCACACCCAGGAGCCGACACCAAGATGGTAGACACGAATATTGTTCAAGCATTTGTGGACGGAATCAAAGACCTGGAGGTCAGAGCTGCAGTGAGGCTTCGTCACCATACCTCGCTAAAGGAGGCATTGGCGCACGCTTTGGAGGTCGAGGCTGTTCGCTACGACATACGGCAGACCCATAGGATCCGCGAGGTCTCTGAGG